ATATATGGTATAAAAATATATGTTATGATGAATCTAATCAAGCTAATTTGATGTTGTAGACATTGGTATATTTTTCTACAAACTTGGTCAAACTTAAAATAGTTTGACTTAGGACAAATCTAAAACTTCAAATATTTTGAAACGGAGGGAGCAATAGAGGTATATAGCCTGGCAAGGCGACTAGAATGAAGTTGTGGATTTGTTCTGGCCCTCCGCTCACACGTTGGGCAGTTGCGGGCGCATAGCACCCACGCTGGGGATGCTGAGGCGTACGCGTTTAGTAAAGGTGACCCTAGCATGATCATTGTCCATGAGTACGTTGCTGAGGATGATGCCATTGGAGGCACTGATGGTGTCTCGTAGACTCGATATGATATCACGACGATTCTCAAAGTTGATGCCAATTGTAGATGGTGTTTGACATCTAGGTTTGAGCCATTAAGATGCAAGTAATAACCATAATATTGCTTGTCCGAAATTTTATGAAAGGATTGCATATCAGCTAATACAAAGTTTATGTCCAATGAGTTTGACATGAAGTTGTTGGTAATGGTAGTCGATTTATACATAACGTCTTAGGTTGAATCTAATCCAGGATAAAACCAGGGTTTCGATGTCATCGTCTTAGAGCATCTCCACCCGTCTCCCCAGGAAGGCCCCCAGAAGCACTTTTTCACCGCCGGCGCACAAAAAAAGTCCCACTCACACCCCCACGAGCCCGATTAGCGCCGGATTGGGCCAAAAATAGAGCCGGCGACCCCAACGCAAACCCATGAAGCTGGGGCGCCTAGGGGGCTAATTTCACCATTTTGCAGGTGTTGGCACATCTGCCAGTGTCTCTATCCTCTCTCTTCCCTTTCCTTTCCTAGCCCACCACGTGCTCCCGTTCACACATGCCCATCCTCTCTCCCACACAAGCCCGTCGGCCGCATCGCACGCTGCCTCGCCGCTACGCCCAGCGCGTCGGCTCCGGCGCCCCCGTCTACCTCGTCGTCGTCCTCCACATCGTGCTGGGGAAGGGGGCGGCCGGCAGAGCAGCCGGCGCGGGCATCGCAGACGCGTGGAGGCGGGTCGCCGCAACGCGACGGCGCGCGGGAGCCGGTGAGCGCAGGGGCGACGCGACGGCGGCAGGAGCCGGTGCATGGCACGACGCGACGGAGCGTGAAGCAACGGCGCGCGGTACCCGGTGTAGGCCTGGCTCCCTACGCGGTGCGAGCGCTCGCCGGCGCATGAGCACGTCCTCGACTCCAGCAGCGGCGGGCCGCGCCGCTCGTCGTCGTCCCGTCTGCTGACCAGCTCACAGACCGGCTCCATCGGCCGCAGCATGGCGCGTGATCCCACCCGTGCACACTGAATACGCGGCCGCCGCCGGTTTCAACTGCGCCGTGCTCGGTGGCTGCCACCTGCACCTGCTCGGAGGCACCAACATGCGGCGGGTGGTGTTCTACAGCTTCGGCGTGTCGGACATGTTGCGCCGGCGCCACTGCTTCGGCGTGTACGTCGCTGACGGAGAGAGCGGCGGGGGCGGCCTCAAGTCCCCGGAGGTCACCGGATGGAGAAGCCCTAGGGCTTGCATCGACAGCCGGCTCTACGCCGCTGCCTCCCGCATGCACTGCTTGCACGTAGGCGAGGGCGGCCATGTCCAAGCTTGCTCTTGCTGCACCACTCGCTCTCGGAGCAGGAGGGCTCCCTCAACTCCGCCGACCAGGCGTTCCTCCTTCCCCGTTGGCTTGAGAGACCGGGCACGGGGCGAGGGAGCGGGGCATGGGGCGGCTCGATGTCGGGCTCCGGTTGCAGGATGTCTTCTCGAGCTTCTCATCGCCTCCTTCCCCGTCGAAGCTCGCGCTCCTCCGCTGGGCGCGCGCCGAGGAGGTCGTCGACATTGCCGCGGGCAAGATGCTCGACGAAATGCCGCTCCGTTTGTGAGAGTCCAACACTGCTCGTGGGGAGGCAACGAGTGGAAAATTTTGACCCCCCAGGCCAAAGTTCTCGCCGGCAGCCCCCAGGAGGCAAAAAAAATGCCTCCTGGGGGGGGGGGGGGCAAATGGCTGGAGATGCTCTTAGCCTTTGAAGTAGAAGTTGCCCCCTGGTTTCGGCACTTTGTATATTTACATACGACATTTGGTTGGTTTGGCTCCTTTTGATCCTGGTCTCCCGGTCGTGGACGACTTGTCTCCTTTACGCCAAAACTTGTCTGACTTCCTTGTTCGGAGTTTTGGGGTAGCCCTATGGCATACTTCATTCTTCAGATGTGGACTCTTGGCGGGTCTCGATTATGTGTTTGGAAGGCCTCCCCAAAGCGTACAACTGGATATGGGCTTAATCCCACTTCCCATAGACACCCATCACGTGATCATCTTTGATATCTTGCTATAGGCCTTCTCCAAGTCGATGAAACTGTACGAAGATCACCTCTATAGCCGATCTCTCAGGGATAAAAAAATTGTTTTCTTACATTCGTCTATCTTATCAAACAATGCTCAATTACTCTCTTCCAAAGCTTCATAATATGACTAATTCCTTCGCGATTAGTACAACTTCGGATGCCCCATTTATTCTTGAAGATGGATATACTAGTGTGCTCTTCGTCCACTATTCAGACATCTTATTCTAACAAGAGATGCTCCCACGGGCGGCCATGAGCGAATCCTAGTCGCCGCTCGCGTCACACCCCAACGCCTCTCCTAGCCGCCATGGGCAAAGCCTGCATGACACGACGATTGTGGGGCCATTTCCTCCTCCAGTTGGGGTTGGCCACTTTGATGGGTGCTCGACGTGGTGAGGTAAGGCAGCGTAAGGTGAGCTGGAGGCATCTCCCGCAGAGAGGCGAGGTGGTGCGCCGCGAGTGTGCGGGGTGGCCTGGCTGGTGCGGATATGCCATGCGTGGGTCGCATCACGGTGCGAGGTGTTGCTGCGTCTTGGGCGAGGCTGTGTCGGGACGCACGACGCGGGCGTGGCGCTGGTGCGCTTCGGGGGTGCGCACGAGGCCCGGGCAAAATGGATATGCATCGCGTGGTGGTCGGTTGTGGTGGTGTAGCTCCGACGGCATTGCAGCTCGGGTGGCGCGGCTCGGTGACCCTGGACGACGCGGGAGGGTGGCTCCATGCGGTGAGTGTAATGGAGTTGGTCTCCGATGGGCGCAAAGTGGCGTGTGTGAGGGCGCGTCAGCGTGTTGATGTATGGCTACCGTTTGAAACCATGGTGCTTCTTGGCATGAGGCATCGCTCCTCTGCTCCCTGTCGGCATGGTGCTCCATAGGGTGCGGGGCTCACGCTCCGTCCGATGGTCCAACGTTTGGTCGGTCATTGATGGATCTGCCACCTTGTGTTGGAGCTTGGTCGTCGTTGGCCTTTGTGAGGTGCGATTGGTTGTGGTGGATCTTGACGCTTCTTCATCAATGGGCGTGTTCGATGGTGGTGGTTGGTGGTCTTGACGGCGTTCGCGCCGGTTGATGTGTGGCGAACGGTGTGTCCAGAGCTTGGGTGAAGACCTTGTCTCGGCTATGTGTCGTGACCAGTGATGGCAACGAGTGTAGGTGTCGTTGACCTCCACGAAGACATCGCTGCAACACCCCTCTCGCACAGATCCAGTCGTCAGTGTAGTTTCAAGGGAAAACCTTATCATGTGTGATCGAACAATGGCAGCACCTTGGTGTCATTTTCTCCTTGGTTTATGATAGTTTTCACTTGATTTTAAATTTTAAATTAATTAACTGGGCAAGTACTGCTTAAAAAGTCTTTTTTTGCCTCCATTTCAAAAAAAAATCTAACAAGAGAAAAAATAGTTGTTGCTATCACTAGTAAAAAAACAGAAGTTTTGTTTTAGAAATCACGCAATGATACAAAGGCTTAGCGACAAAAAAACAAAATTATCCCGAAATTAGTTGTGATCAATGCGAACGAACCCAAAGTCCAGCACCAGCCGTGCATTTCAAGTGCGGGTTTGACACAAGGCCACCAACCAGTTCACAGGTGTGCCCTCGCCTGGCAAGGTGTCGACCACCGGACGGCAGAGCATCACCGCAGCTGGCAACGCGGCCGCACGACCAATCTGAACCCGACGACAACCGTGACCTTCGCCCTACACTACAACCTCAAGCGGCCATCCGCACATGTCGCTCTCCACCACCGCCGGACCGGGACCGGACGAGCCGGCCATTGTCGTCCAATCAAGGCGCGCACACGAGCAGCTTGCCGAGGCCGGGGCCTTTCCCAACTTCCTCTTCACGTGAACTCATTCAGCCGATGGTCCAGTGCAAAGTCAAGGCCGCCATCACCACGTATCAGCGTCAGGAAAAGGAGAAGTGCGTATCGTCCTGTGATTCGGCGAGTTGCTCAACAAACGGGAGGAAGGTGGCGTCCTCTCCCTTCCTGATATTTGGGACACCTACACCTGCGGCAAGGGCGAACAGAAGATGTTTAGTCACATATCAGTGGAATTGCGTGTCCAATCTACGACGGAAAGCAGTGATGGTCATGCTCCGTAGGTCGCAAAATGAAGCGGAGAATTCAAATAGGTAGAATATATCTGAAGAAAACTAGGGCGGGGGGTGGTTGCTGTGAGGAGAATAGGGATAACAGCATTGTCTACACGTATCAAAATGTACTAAAATGCTACTGCAGTTAGGTGATATTCTAGATTAGTTAGTTGGTTGTTTACACCACAGAGTTCACAAAGATATATCAAAAGGAACACGTAAAGATAGTAGCAAGCTGGTGAATTTATTTGCTACCATCACATGCAAAGAACCAGTAGACAGCTATCAGACTTACTTTTAAAGTCATGCACGACAGCAACATTCCAGAAACCACACGAAGCCACTTTTCGCAACATCGTTGAATTAACGAAATTTAGTATGTGTAAGGTTACGTGCATTATTGAAGCCCAGACCTTATATAACGAGCTTATGGCGTAGGGAGCGAGCATCACTTACTTATGGTTGGTAGCATTGCCATCTTTCAAGGAACCTGAGCATTCATCTTCAGCCCCAGGCTGCAAGAATGGCTTGTGCTGTAGATCCCAGCAGCAACAACAAGAACAGCTTGCTGATGCTTCCTGAGAGAGTGAAGAAGATCAGCAGGATTCCTGCTTCGTGGTGGGCGTACGCATGGAGTATTGGAAGAGAAGATCAAAGGAGAGCCATTCATGCTCTCAAGGTCGGGACAGCTCTTACACTGGTCTCACTCTTGTATATACTAGAACCTTTGTTCAAAGGGGTGGGGAAGAATGCAATGTGGGCTGTCATGACAGTTGTTGTTGTGCTCGAATTTACCGCAGGTAATCTACTACCATTATATTGATCATAATATGTGTTATATGTGTATGTAGTTCTTGGGTTTCTGACAAGTGAGTACTGATCAACAGGTGCAACCATATGCAAAGGTCTGAATAGAGGATTCGGAACAGTCATAGCGGCATCTCTAGCATTTATCATTGAACTTGTAGCAGTAAGATCTGGAAAAGTTTTCCGTGGTTTCTTCGTGGCTTCTTCAGTATTTTTAATAGGTATGAACCTTGTAAAATTGGAATTCAGGATGGCCTAATTGATAGTATCTTAAGCCGTAGCATTTTCAATGACAGGATTCGCCGCAACGTATTTGAGATTCTTCCCATCCATTAAGAAGAACTATGATTATGGAGTGGTGATTTTTTTGCTAACCTTCAATCTGATAACGGTCTCAAGCTTCCGCCAAGAGAACATACTGCCTTTAGCACGAGATCGCTTGAGTACAATTGCTATAGGGTGTGCCATATGCCTATTTATGAGCCTCTTCGTATTGCCAAACTGGTCGGGAGAGGACCTCCACAGCTGCACTGTGCGCAAATTTGAAGGATTGGCAAGATCGGTTGAAGGTGGGTATCATCACATATATGATGTTAACATACTAACTATTATCATACTAATAGCCTAATCTTTAAATGTAACAAAATATCAGAACTCAGTAGTATCTTACCAAAGAAAAATTGCAGGTTGTGTGAATGAGTATTTCCGAGATCAAGAGAAGCATGATAATATTCTTGATAAGCAGACGTCAAGAGCTTCCATTCATACTGGGTATAGAGAAGTACTAGACTCAAAATCAAGTGATGAGTCCCTGGTAAGTAAATCACCGTTTGATGCTTCAATCTTCTTATCCTTTTCTCTGTGCAAATGTTTTTTATCAGATTGATGTCATGGATGTCTCTTATTTCAAAAAGTATATGCCCTCAATAATAACAATTGGCCAGGCACATTATGCAAGCTGGGAGCCAAGACACTCAATGCAGTGTTACAGTTACCCATGGCAAAAGTATGTGAAGCTTGGATCTGTGCTTAGACACTTCGCATATACTGTCGCTGCACTTCATGGATGCCTCGAATCAGAAATTCAGGTACTGAAAAAAACTTATGATATAACATGCTTTTCCAGATTTCTCTGACATATCAATATTATTTCAAGCAAAACCATCTTTCTGTAAATAACCTGTGCTCACAAAGTTATATTTATCGATGTTGAAGACTCCGACATCCGTCAGATCACTATTTCGAACCCCATGCACTAGAGTTGCACGAGAGGTGACCAAGGTTCTACAGGAGCTTGCAGACAGCATAAGAAATCACCATCGTTGTGCCCCTGATGTGCTGTGCGATCATCTTCATGAAGCACTACAGGATCTAAACTCAGCAATAAGGTCACAACCACGGCTATTTCTCGCCTCAAAACATGGATCTGCCAATAGTCGTATGCTAATGGAAATGAATTCAAGCAAGCATGCCGCCTCAAGAACTGCTCTGCCCTCATTCAAGACTGATACAGCATCGATATTAGAAAGGAAGAACACAAAAGCAGATCAACCATCAGAACGCAGTGAGAGGAGCACATTAGGGCGGACGCTAAGTAAGATAGCTATCACAAGCCTTGAGTTCTCTGAAGCACTTCCATTCGCTGCTTTTGCTTCGTTGCTGGTAGAAATGGTAGTACGACTGGAGCTGGTTATTGAGGAAGTAAAGGAACTGGAAAGGGCTGCAAATTTTAAAGAGTTCACTCGCCATGACCATCTGACCATTGATATCGCTTGCAAGGAGGAGAAGAGAAACAATGATGGTGTGCGATTAGGCAGCCACACAGTTTCTCCTGCAGCTGAATAAACACTCATGGGTAGATCAAAGCAGCAGTGTATAGATCATTCTGAAAATAATATGTATTTATTCTTTGGTTAGAAAGAGATGAGTGGTGGATTTCAATAACTACTGTTTAGCATGATATACATTTAGGTGCAATTAAATATTCTCCGTCTATCAATCAGTCGTTTGCAGATGTCCCAGCGATCAGACTTGGAAGGATTATCAAGTGAATAGTAATTCACCTGTTTTCCGTACTCAGTAAGTAATGATTTGTATCCACATATATCCTTCTCTGACCCGTGTTTCACATTGGATGATTATGCAGCTACTTCCTGCCTAACATCTGTAACATGGTCCAAGGTATAATGGCCAAGCCTTCCTGTGCGATAGAGATTGAGTAATTTGACAGCGACAAGTTTATTCCTATCCTCAATTGTTTCAGCAGAAATCCTGAAAGCTTTCTGCAAGTGTGTAAACTGGATTTCTACCAATCTTCTTAAATCGTTCTCATTTCCTAAATCTCCCTGAAAAGATGCTATGGTCTCGGAAAGCGCTTGACGAACGGCTCTAACGATAAAATCCTGCACATAAATAAAGCGAAGCAATTAAAACATGGCAGCTAGCTAAAAGTATGCATGTCAGAACCAAGAATTCGATGCTCTTAAAAATCATTATATAATGAGAAATATATCCATTTTCTAGCATTAATAGTAAGAAATTGCAATAAATATTAGGATGTAATACCTAGAATAATCATCGATATTTACCTGGGTATGATCTGAGGAATACTGCCTTTTAGTATGGCAACTCCTGGTGGGAATTGCATCAGCAAAAGAAGATTTATCTCCGTCTAGATTCAGGTTCTCCCACTCACTGCATTCCGTCCTTAAGTTAAAAACTGTAAGAAGGAATTGTGCAATCTCATACTCCTCTAACAAGGAATCCTTAATTGCTCCTGAAATAGAGGTGCATGAATCAGATAACCTTTACCTAATAATAAAGCAAATTGGGTTTCTTTCGTCCGTCATGGCATTTTTCAGAAAAGTCCCTCTATTTCAGAGAATTCAACCCACAGTTCTGTCTTAAGTTAAAACGAATCGTTATTTTCATATTTTACACAAACGTCCCTGTCTTTTCTTGAAATCAACCCGCCGTCCAGGTTTAAGTCACACCCGAACCGTTATTTTATATTTTTTGAATACCCCCTGATGTTTTAGATAATTCATCCGCGGATCATATTTAAGTCAAACAAATGCTTTTTAAAATCATCCATATCTTTTAAACCGTAACTCCGATTTCAACCTGTTATATGTGAAATTTGATTAGAAAAATATGTAGAATATGAATATGAGATTATTTTTACCTGTTAAGTATTTTTAAATATTATTTTGGAATATATTTGAGTCAAACAAAATGATTTTCTAAATTATCTGTATCTTTTAAACCGTAACTTCGATTTTAACATATTATATATGAAATTTTATTAGAAAAATGTGTGGAATCTAAATATGATGTTAATTTTACCTGTTAAATATATTTAAAATATTTTTATGGAAGCGAACTTATAATTTATAGCGCAAGATTCATTTTTTTTCATAACGGCGGCGATCCGGATTGCAAATAAACACTCAACTATAATCATCTACGGAAAATAAAACATCGATAACTACACATGCATACCTCTGAAAAATATCGTAGGGGAAAACAACAGATTTCTCATCGCGAGAGTGAAAGAAAGCGAGCGAGAGAGAGAGGGAGAGAGAGGGAGAGAGAGGGAGAGGGAGGAGAGAGGGAGAGAGAGACGCCTTAGGATTAACCATATTCAACACACGTTTTTTGTTGTTTTGTGTGAACACCGAGGCCATCGCCGGCGAGGGTGAGAAGGAGGATAAACGGCAACACAAATATGATGCCTCGCGAATATAAAGGAGATGGACCTATTGTGGTCTGGAGTGATGGTTGTTGAGTTAAGAGCGTGTGTTATGTTTTCTCTCCCGTTGCAGCGCACGGGCTCTTTTGCTAGTAATATATAATGACAAGTGAAACCTTGAACTTCGTAGGAGTCTTTACCTGTCAAAACTAGCCTGGGACCGGATTCATCATTCGCAAATATAGGAGATAGAACACCAGGAGTGTCTAACACATATATATTTGGATGACTGGCAACCTGAAAACCAGAAACTTCCTGTTGTTAAGATTTAAATGACACATTACAATCATATAAATAGTTCCCGAGCCATGGGATATTGGGTAGCAGAGACAAGAAGGTGCAAAAGACAGGCACTGCAGCTATTTCTGCAATCAGCATGCTTGAGTGCTGTTGCAATTGTATAAAGACATTTTCAGACCATTGGTCAATGTGAACAGAAGTAACTCATATGATGCTTACATTGAGCTCGACTGTTAAATAAGAGGGTTTTCCAAATGATTCAGGTAATTCTTTTTCTTTTAGCGAGATAAAGTACTACCACATGTTCTTAGAAGACCAAAAATCATTTTCCTTCATTCGACTGTACAACACAAGGTATTAAATCAATCAAAATACCTTGTAGCCACTTATATCTCTGGTTTCTCCGGGATGGCTGCTGACAATCGCATGCTTGAGCTTTCCCTTCTCTGAAAGACAACCCAGCCATTGTCACACAGCAATCAAATCACAATCAAAGCAACCATAGTAATAGGAAAAATAAGGTGCATCAAAATGTTATTACGAACAGAAAGGCAACAAGTAAACTGCATCACCTGCTGCCCCAATCCTTCCAATTTGATGCATCGTATTGATGATGGCCGACTTGCCAACATTAGGGATACCGACCAAGAGAACAGTCCCTGTGCAGTCGCTCACCCCAAGCTTGATCTCCCTGATCCTCCCACGCACAGCATTCAACAGCTACATTAGAGTTGAAATGAGCCCCAATTAGATACAGGAATCGCATAATAATCATGAATTTAGCCGGTAAATCGATGCACTTAGAATGCACTTGAGACGACACTAGCACGGCTCTAACTACCTCATTGATGCTTTCCCTGCTGTGTGAATTGACCGCGATGCACGAGCAGCCCCTTTGCTTCATGAACGCCACCCACTTCTGGAGCAGCAACGGCGATAAATCATACAGTCAAAAGACAACTTGCGTATGTCAGAACTAAAC